CGGCCATTTTCCTCAACAAAGCTAATACTTTACTTTGTTTCACTTTACTAAAGTAAAGCATTTTACCTCTTTATGATAGCTTGGCGGTCATTTTCTTCAACAAAGCTAATCCTTTGTTTCACTTTATTAAAGTAAATCAGATGCTTCTTGATTTCTTTCAATTAGAGCACGTTAAGAGCCCGGACAAATCATGAGATGGGATAAAAAATTTGTCCATTTCACTATATCTCATGTTTGGTACAGCTAAAAGATTTTGCAAAAAAACTTTGGACATAAGTCTAACAATGCATCGGAGTTATGGGGATTAAAACAGAACTTGAGCCAGTTCTCCAGTTGGGTTTTAAAAGAATTGAAATTGGACATGACTACTAACAATGCATCGGAGTTATGGGGATTAAAACAGAACTTGAACCAGTTCTCCAGTTGGGTTTTAAAAGAATTGAAATTGGACATGACTCCTTATTTACTATCAACATTCTACCCCACAAAAATACCATTAGCAGATCTCATTGCTCAATAATTACTGTTTGCAGATCATTGTTCTTACGGTTTAATGATGCTGTTCTCCATCATATTTATCATGAAGTAAATGATGGACAACTACACTTGTCAAACATGATGCATTAACGGAGAAACCTTTTATTACTTTTGATTTTGTTCTTAATTTTTGTACTTTTTATTTTTTTATGATCAAAATAATTATTTTAAGCATCAAACTAACTTTAATAAAACTTAATTTTTATCTATATTATTTTCCATTTGTAAAAAAAAAAAAGAAAAGGATGGGCACCCAGTACACACTGGATACCATGCATCCCATTGATTTCTTGCTTTCAAAAAAGCTATCTCCTCAAATAATAGGGGGCCTACGTTCTAGCTGTAAGTATTAATATTTTTTTATTTTTTATTTTTTTTAATAAAAATAATAATTAATAAATTAATATTATTAAATATTAATAATTAAAAATTTGATCCTTAAATCTTATCAACAATTCATCAACCTTAACAAAGCACGCGATTATCAAGCTCTTGGTGAAGTTCAGCTGCAAGTATTAATAGTTGCTTGTCTTCTTTTCGTTTTTCCTGGTTCGATAATTGATGTGCCTGAAGTTTCCTGCTTTTCAAAACGCGGTCCTTTGCTGTCCCCTGCATTTCAAGAAGTTAAAGCTGGAATGCAGGCATTGCTATTATGAAAAGGCCCCACTACAATTACAAGCCACGTTTTATATACCTGTAGCAGGCTTGTCTTGTTTCCACGATGAACATTAGTCTTCCGTCCATCAGGTCTTAATTTCTTTTATAATATAATAAAATGAAACGAAAAATTAAAATATCTTGACATGTTAGGAAGCTTATCAAATTATTAATCATTTGAATCTCAATTTAAAATTTATACGATAAATAATTTAATAAACATCTTATTTTTTGAAAACCTATATAATAATAAGCAACTATTCCAACTTTTAGATCTTTTTGCATTCTCAATTCACTGCAATTTACTAAGTAAAGGTCTACCACGAAATATCCATACATTGGATAGCCATGCATCTCGTTGATTTCTTGCTTTGAAAAAGGCTGTCCCCTCAAATAATAGAGGGCCTACATACTAGCCGAAACTACTACAAGTTGCTTGTCTTCATTTTGTTTTCACTGGTTCAATAATTGATGTGTGCTGTGCAGTAAGTTTCGTTGAGAGAATTACCTATCATTTTCATTTTCATGTACACGACTCAAGTTAAGTCCTGATTAATTAGAACGAAACTCGGATATAGGCAGGAAACAAAAAATAATAATAATTGATGTGTCCGAAATTTCCGGCTTTTCAAAAACGCGGTCTTACTGTTTCCTGCTTTTCAAAAAGTTAAAGCTGAAATGCAGGCATTGCTATCATGAACCGGTAACTAATTATAAAA